AGCACTCGGGAGACAGAAGCAGGCGGATCTCTGTGAGTTTGAGGCCAGCCTGGCCTACGAGAGCTAGTTACAGGACAGGTTCCAAAGCTATGGAGAAACCCTGATTTGAAAAAACAAAAACAAACAGCAACACAAAAAGGATATTTGTGTGTATTTAAGCGTCTTTTCACTGTCACCTGACAATTACAGGTCCGGCTATTTGCAACACACACTTGCCCTTATGTTGCTTTGCTTTCCTTCATTCCCCTTGCCTTTCATGGCCTCTTTTGCTTTTGAACCTACCAGGTAAAGCGTATGTGAAACAGGATCTGGAAACCGTTTTCATTCTCTCATCAAAGGGTGATGGAGTGAGATCTTGAACTTTAACTAGCAGAAGTTAAAGGATGGAAAAATGTTCAGTTTTTTAAGCTGAGCCGCCCAAGCTACACATTGGAGTTTGAATTTCGGTCCAACATAAACAGGACAGGAAGGGAGTAGCACAGAAGGCTGCAAGCCTTCATCAGAGCCTGCGATCTGATGGGGGTGTTAACATGGCAAGCGCACACACCTTGAAAGGGCAGTTTAACTGTACCCAGGGCAACTCACACAGCAAGTGTCTGCTGGAGACTGGACCTGCCCCCTATTCGTTTCAGATGGCCCGTTTTCTCGACAGTGTTAAAGCAAGGTCTCGGTCAAATGGGGGCACTAGAGAAAAGGAGGAGGGGATCTAAGCAACTGGATGATTTTCTTCCTACTGCGATTCTCTTCTGTGGAATATGTGTTTACTTTTACCCTGTGACCCCTGTTGTGTTATGTACATGTTAATACAGATGTGTCATATGCGTGGACCTGTATGTAGAAACCAGATGAATAGGTGATTGCTCTCCAAATTTATTTTTGAGACAGGGTCTTACAGGGAACCCAAAGCTCAGCTATGCTTTCTGGCCAATGAGCATCAGGGATCCACCTGCCTCCATGCCCCCCCTCCATTGCTATGGTTACAGGAGAGTATTGACGTGTCAGACACTTTGCATGGAGATCTGAACTCAGGTATGCATAGTAGGCAGCTCTATTTATTTTTCAACATATGGTCTCATGTGGTCAGATCTAGCCCAAGCTAGCCTTGAACTCCCTATGTAGCTGCAGGTGATCTTGAGCTTTTGATCCTCCTGCCTCTCCCCACTAAGTGCTGTGATTGCAGGCATAGACCTTTCTGCCCAATTTTTTTTGGTTTTGTTTTGGTTTTTTGTGACAGGGTTTCTCTGTGTAGTTTTGGAGTCTGTCCTAGCACTCTCTCTGTAGATCTGGCTGGTCTCGAACTTACAGAGATCGTTTTTGTAGTGCTGGGATTAAAGGCATGTGCCACCATCGCCTGACTCTATTTGCCCAGTTTTATGCTGGTGCTGTGGATGGAATTCAGGTTTAGTGCATGGCAGCCAAGTATTCCATTAAGTGAGGGGCAGCTGTAGGTCTTCAGGTGGGCCTTCGGCTGAGTTCTTCATGTGCATTTATTATCACCAGGTGGAGAGACAAACAACATCAACTGGAATTGTCTTATAAAGGAGGACAACCCTGGAACTGGTGGGCTTTGAAGAAAGAGGTCCTGGAAGTATTCAGGGGAAAATTCAGCAGAGCACATGAGGTTGCTCTACAGGCGGGAGGTCTTTCTCTTCTTTGTGACTTTACTCTTGCTTCGTTCATTCAAAAATACATATGGACATCTACTACAGGAGACCCAATACAGACAGCGAAGGTCCCTATTCCCAGAGGGATAGTAATCTACAAAGCCAATAACAAGTAAGTCACCATCAGAGATAATTATGTACCGGGTACAGGTTGAAGGGGAGAGTGGATGGATGGCGGCTTTAGATTAGATGGCTGGGGAAGGGAAACATCCAGTTGAGATTTGGTAAATCAGAAGAGGCCAGCTTTTATAACAGTCCAAGCATAGAAGATTCCAGGCAGAGGAACAACTTGTGCTTCAACGTGTGCCTAGGAGTGTGGGGGACCCATAAAGAGCTTCCAAACCTAGAAAGCTGATAGAGAACGACACTGGCCTCTCTGTCCCTCTGCCTCTCACACACACCATCTCCAATTCCTGTATATGCAGCAAAGGGACAATTTACTATTTTGAGAAATTGCTGACTGTTGCTTAAACATAGCTTTGGTTACTCAGCCTTAAAGTCCTGGCTACCTTCCTGTTGTAGCTGTTACTGGGACAAACATCGCGACCAGACACAACTTTGGAGAGCAGGTTTACAGGTCAGGGTTGGAACTCAAGCAGGAGCATGGAGCAGAAATGATAGAAAAAGCTGATTTCTGGTTCCCTCTGGCTCATGCTTAGCTAGCTTTCTTCTAGACCCAGGACTACCTGCTCAGCGGATGGTATCAGCCTCCTGCGTCAATGAGAAATCAAGATAATCCTTTACAGACATATTGATAGGCCAACGTGATCCAGGCAGTTCCTTTCTCCGATGAATCTAGGCTATGTCAAGTTGACTGTTAGAGCCAATGAGGACACTTGCTGTGTAAGAGTTTTTGGGATATGTCCCTCCCTTGAGACAAGATTTTCAGAGACAATCGGGTGTCTAAGGGTGTGTGTAGGTAGAAAGACAGAAGCAAACACAGTAAATAAAACTACACAGAGAGACTGACTCAACCTGAATTCATTTTACTTCAACTATAGGAAACACCAATCCTGCTTTTTTTTTTTTCTTCAGAGACTAGAGGAAGAGCAAACAGGAAGAATAGGAGCAAAGAGAGCTGTTGAGTTAACATGGAAAAAATCTTTTCAACCATTTCATTATCTAAAGGGCATGGACTTTTATGGCCATGTGTGTATTTTTGGCACTCCACTGGAAAGTAAGAATTTTATCTGTTGACCCACTTGCTTCTGGGTGTAAGAGTCACCCTTCACTAACTCTCCCTCATTTTGCAGGCTGTGCACGTGTAGATAGTACCTCCTGTCCACAAGGCAGAAGAGGAAGACAGAAAAGGAGAGGAATGGAAGCTGAAATCGTGATTTCTGCATCATTCAGTTGAATCCACGAGTTAAGCACAAGGACACACAAGACCACACTTTTCTAGATGCTCTGTCAATCACTTGCAGAGTTTGCTAGTTAAAAAGTCCCCTCCAAAATTTCTTCCTAGGAATTCCAGGCAGAGCCATGACTTTGAAGGACGATTTTATGAAATGTAGAGAATCCACAATTTTCTCTGTGAGCTATACATCTCTTTCGAATCTCCAGGCATTCTGTTGTTATTGTTGTGGAGAAAAGATCCAATGATTGGCTTATTTGGTGCAAAGAGGGAATAAAACCAACTGCCAGTAAGTTGAGTTTATGGTCTTTTCTTCCTGTTTTCCTCTGAAAAGGTGCAATTTAAGCAAATTATGTCATCACCTTTGAAACTTGTTCTTAAGCTCCTGAACCTTTTAATAACCTCAGCAGTATTTATTTTTGTGTAGACAAGGCCTCCGTCATGCACACAAGCACAGTGATGCAGCCGAAAGCTGAGGGGCTGCTGAAATGCCAGAGATAAGGAGGACTGTAAATGCCGCTAACAGCGCCTCGTGTTTACTCTCCTGTGATTTATGCTGAATTTATGATGGCTATTAGGAGAGAACCACTTCAGCGGATCAAGAGCACAGTCAAGACCTCCTCATTAAACACATCTGCCCTTCCCCAGAGAAGTGGTCCCTGTTTCAGTAAAAGCACTGGAAATACATAATTAAAATGCAACCATGAAGCAAGTCAGTAGGAGCAATTAATTTTATGGCTGTGCTGTAAGAATGTAAATCTCTTTTATGGATGCCCTTCTTCTGTTTTTAACCTCACTTTATCTTCTCTATGAGAACATAGGTCTCTCACAGTTCTATACATAAATCTGATCAGTAGCTCTATACCACCTAAAACGTGGGCGCCAATACGACACAAAATGACAGACTTGGGAGCAATGGGTGGATATCCGAAGTCACCTTATAAGATTGACCAGAAGTTTCTTCCTATAAAACCACCTCCCCGTTTGTTCAAGTGTTCTTAGAGTTAATTTGCATTGGGCTGAGGTCCGTGAAATCCCTTGGCGAACAATGAAGTGATGTGTAAGAGTAAGGTGTCATTCCTTTCTAGATAGAATCTAGATAGATAGATTCACGTTTCTAATCGATTCTAATATGGCTAACACACGAGCCGGTTGAAGAAGATAAACATGCACCTACTAAGGAAGCAAAGAACTCCTAAGACAGCAGACACTAAAGGGAATCCAGAGCCTTTCCGAGATGGAGCGATTTCATTCTCATGGAGTTGTGAACGAGGAGAGAATGAATGTGTTTCCACTGACCTATGTCAGGGAACAATTAAGAACTGTTCTGCTGTGATAGAGAACCCTTTGAGTTCTATTTCTCTCTCCCAACACTGTTATGGCCCCATTCATGACAATGCTTCGCTGCATGGTGCCAATGGAAACAGTTCATGCAAGATTTATCACCCTGAGAAAACAATAGCAATCAAACAGTGGAAACATGTAGTTGCAGGGACTGCGTTGTCATGGGCAGCCCTCCATGTGACAAGCCTGTCTCTGGTTTACCCTCCTGGCCAGGACAACCACTGCGTTGCCCCTCTTCCCCGTTTCCTCCTGCTGTTCTCATCAGCACTTCTGACTGAGTCCTCCAGTTAGAAAGTTTGCTTCATAGACACTCCAAGGAGTTCCCTTCTCCGTTCTGTCTGGAGAGCAGTTGTACCCTACCACAAACCGGAAGTCAGTATCCCTACAGATGCTTTCGTAGCCATGACCAGTTACTGCTTCTAGCAGAGAGTCTTAACCATGCTCCGTAATTACCTCTTCTACTTTGTATTTTTGAGGAACCACACTTGCCAGCCAGCTCACCTCAGTCGAGGACAGCTTGCCTGCAGACGGGGTGGTGTGCCACACAGTCCAGTCTAGGAGAACGCTTTTTTTTCTAACCAGAGAGGAAATTGCACAGGAATATGGAAAGTATTATAAAACCATGCATAAATACTCACAGTTTGGGTTTGGCAAGCAGAGGTGGTGGTTCCTTAGTGGGCGAAAGCAGGGCAGTTGGTGTCGGAGGAGATTTATTGCCGTAAGCTTTGCCATTAATCAGTCCATTGACTCCGTGGCCGGGATGAACTCCATTGGTTTCCCTCTCTGCCGAGTTGAATTGCATTTGAAGGGCTGCCATGTTAAGTCCTAAGTCGGGGCTGTTCACCTGCTGGATTTCAGAGGGCTTCTGCGGTGACAGCTCGTAGGAACCTGTCTCCAAGATTGGAGGGGGAGGTGGGAAGTGGTGGTCGTGATCACTGTTGGGTTCTCCCATTGAGTCATAGCTACAGTTCTCAGAGTTGGCTAAAGCAGGGGACAAAAGAGGAAGAAAGAAGTCAGATGCTACCTGTTCAACAAATGATTTCCTACTCACAGACCCGGTGGATACCCTTGCATGTCATTAGGGAGGAAGAGCCACCCTGCTGTCATAGGATGCGGGAGCATTGTTGACCTGGTGGCCTTGTTCTGAGGGGCGACTATTGTCTCATTCCCTGGCTGAACTCACCTATAGAAAAACTAACTGCTGATTCATTAACAAATTGCCTTAAGAGTGTAAGATAAGGCATCATTAAACATGATATGGCAAACAATATTGATCCAAATGCTTTATCTTCTGATCCCCAGCCCAGGAATCCCATTGGACATCAGACCCATCCTCACTGATAGTCCTTAAGTTCAGAAGGGTTTCTGAACTTCCTTGCTGAAGCTGGGGAAGAGAAGTTCTGAGGCCGAGCGAAATTCCAGAAATTCTCCTGAGTACATAGAAAATTTCCGTGCCAGTTAGGAAATTATGTTGTCTCAACGACAGCATGGTAGAAAACAGCTTTGAAAATGTCTCTCAATAGCCTGGAAGTATCTTGAGGTCATACCCTTTCTGAATCGCTCAGCCTGCTAAGAGCCTGGCAGATCTTTTCGAATGCACCAACCAATGATTATTGAGGTACATAGAAAACCAAGAAATTTATCGATCATGTTTGGCATACAGTCTTGAAAAATATTGCATTACCAGGTTTTCTTGCTCAAACCGAGTCTCATTTTTGCGGTTACTGTTTGGAGTCGGCTGTGGTTGTTTGATGGGACACTCTTCAAGCTGATTGAAAACTGACAAGTCATGATGCTGCCTGCTATGGGACTCCCGAGACAGCACTGTGGTTCCCAACTGGTGTTCACTGTGTTTGTGCATGTCAAATATGTCCCAGTAAGGCGAGCCTTCCTTTCCCTACTTATCTTAATGAGCATAAAAAAGCCTTGACATTCCCCAAGCTTGTTCTGGTTGTGCCTCTGCTGCCACCTAGCCCCCAAGTTCTTGCTCTTCTAGAAACCAGGGCCATGGGATAGCCGGATAGCCATCCACTTACTGATGCCCTGCTGTGTGTTTCATTATGCCTCTCGGCTTGGTCAAAATGATCAGTTTAAACTTTCTGTACGATGGGCTTGAAAGATGAGAAAGCTACTACAAGCCGAGGTAAAGTTCATCAGCAGAAAACTCACCTAGACATACAAGTAAAAGTAAAGATCTGCTTCTGCTTATGGTTTTCCCTAGAGATTTGTTGTTGAGTTTCGATGTCTGTGTATTTTTGAACACTGCGTTAAGCAGTACAATATTTTATCTTTCATGTCAGAGCTCCTTACTCACATGGATATATACTGAGGGGAAATTTGATTTCTAGCATCTTTACAGTTTCTCTCGGTTTCACTGGCTTGTATTCCTTTCTCAGAAGTTCCCATCGTGATTTACAGAGTGACACATTTGGGCAGGTTTCTGCAGGTCCTCCACACTTCTGAGGACTGTGACTGCTCCCCTGACTTAAAGGTGGCGTACTGAGGTGAGGAAGCCTAACTTAGCATGGAGATTATCAGTTCCATTGCTTCTGAAACCACAGTAGCACGATTTTTTAAAAAAAAAAAAAAATGGCCCCAAGAGTGAGTGTTAGTTACTGTACTCGTCATCCCCACCTCCACAGCTCCGTGCCTCCAAGATGAGACATTCTATTGTTAGGAGGACCTTGGAGGGGTCACGAACATTCCTCAGAGCTGAGCTCTGCCCCTAGGACAGTTGCTGCCAGTCTTGGGGAACTACTTGCACAAAGACGGAGTAGGAGGAACCAGGTGCTTTTGATGCCCACATACCTGAGGTAACGAGAAGCTGCGCAGTGCTGGTCACTGATCCGTAGTCATTTCTGGCTGAGCAGGTAAAGATGCCCGCATCTTCAGGGAAGCTCTCGGCAATGACCAGGGTGCAGATCTCCTCTGGAAGCAAAATGAGCAAGACAATCTGTCAGAGGGAAACTGTCAGAGAAGTCATGAGAAGCGAGCCCCAACCTCCTCCTGTTTTCCCAACTCTTCAGGCTTGAATGGGTCTTTCTTCAATGTAATCATCACCAATGAACAGGAGCCAGTGTGTCTCAAAACATATCTGTCAAACACTCGGGGGAAGAATTAGCTACGGTCAAAGTGTTACCTCACAAGAATTCTTTTTGTTTACTAAAATAGTTACACACGCACATACACACAAGCAGCCACACACACATACACACAAGCAGCCACACACACATACACACAAGCAGCAAGTGCAAAGATAAACAAGCTAAAAGAAAAGTGTAATCTCCTTTTCACAGTCTGACTATTTCTCTAGCTAACGTTCCTTAATATGTCTCCAGGAGTAAACACAAAGAATTTATTGTATTTAACTCTACAGAATAATTATGACAGCTTTAAAAACATAAATAGTACCAAAATATTTTTGAGGTAGTATTTCAGGGTTCAATGAAGGTAGGCAAGGCCGTTGCAAGCGGGAAGACTTAGCAGAAAGCTCCAGTTTGCTAAATGCAAATAGTTACTTAAATGTAGGGTGGAAATAGGAAAAATTAAAAATTTTAGGCAATTTAAAAAATAGAAGCAAAAGAAAAGAAACAAAAGAAAAGAAAACGTATTTCAGCACTTATATTTGTTTCAGATGTCTGGAAGAATCAAGCTGCAGGTTGGCCATGTAATTCCTTTTAAATATTTCCAGATCCTAGATATTCTATAATTATTCTATAACCACAGGGACAAGATTCTTTTTGTTCTTTTCTCCATATTTTTTAGTAGCTTTATAAGTTTTCTAACTCAGTCTATAAAGACAAATCTGAACAAGATTTCCTGAATTATCTTTCCTTTTTCTTTTTAAAGAGCCCTCTCTATATATTTAAATATTGTGGATTTATATTTTGGGCACATATGTAATCTCAGTGTTTGGGAGGTATAACAGAAGGATCAGGAGTTCAAGGCCAAACTTGAGCTGTGCAAACCTAGTAGGGGTCAGATGAGACCTGGCCTCAAACCCAAAATCAATCAATCAAACAAAAGACTCTCCAAATCTTTCCACCACTTTGGTAAACAAACAAACAAAAAAAATGCTTTGACTAGATAATACAAATACATGATAAAATTTTATAGAAATACATGGCATAAAACTTAAAAGATACAAATGGGTGTTTAACTCTTAAATAATTATGTTAAAATTAATTAACCTCTTAAATAATTATGTTAAATTTTTTATGAGCGTTTAACTTAGATTTAAGACAGAGACTGAAACATGCACATTTCCGCTTACATCTGCACATTTTTATTCCTTACAGAGGCATATAGACACAATAATAAAGGTCTAACTATGGTGATTTACACAGATCTTTCCCACTATGTGTGAGAAGTACAGTAACCTCACGAGAACTCAACGATAGTTATTTCAAGTAAAGGGTAGCTTGAGTTTTTCATAATGCATCATTGGAGTTTCCTGATCTACAAATAATGAAAAATACTAGCTATTGAAGATCACGACCTGAGTTGTTTTTTGCAAAGATGTGAAAACATGTTTAGGAATAAGGTAGCATGATCACACAGAATCGTGCTGCAGCAAGAGGGTCCGAGGGTGGCAACCTTGGCCTTCATCTGACTCCGGAGGGTAGAAGCGACTTGAGAAGTCCTTCCAGGTCTCATCGGTGAGTAACACGAGTTACACGTTTTTACACTTTATGATCAAAATCGTCCTTTAAAAGATACACTTGAAATACCAGTGCGAATGTGGGTTGAAGGGGACAGCACTCTACACAATTTTCTCTAGTTCTTAATGTTTGCCTAAGCCTGCTGAGTTCAGTGTTAGCAGGAGGGGAAAATAAAGCCTGCTGAGTTCAGTGTTTGCAGGGTGTTTGATTCCAGTTGCTGTGGCACTGACAACAGCAAAAGGCAAAACATACTGAAAAGTTAAACTTAGGTTGCATACTAATTCCACAACAAATTTCAACAATGTGTGTCATTAGAAACAACAAACAAACAAACAAACAAACCAAAAAAGGCTTAAGTTAATAGCACACTGCATGAAGCAGGCAACTGTGCGGGGCAGATGTAAATTCAGGCAGACCCACCTTCCCGTCTTTCCAGTGGAAAAGGCCCCCATCTCATGATATACACATGAGGGTAGCACAATTAGTAAAAACCCAGAGACAAAAACTGGGGTTCAATCTGAAGGTCAGAAAAGCAAAACAGCATGTCACTAGCTCTTACCTCTACCTCAGTCTGAAATAGCGATCCTGCCTCCAGGAATCTCAGAAGGAGACTGTGTGTGAGAGCTGTCTCCTCCCATTCTATATTTCTTTCTAGGACTGGGATTAAAGGCATGAACCACTGGGATTAAAGGCATGCAATGCCTGGTTTCTATGGCAACTAGTGTGGCTACTGGGATTAAAGGCATATGTCACCACTGCCTCATCTGTAAGGCTGACCAGTGTGACTTTTTTACTCTCTGATCTTCAGTCAAGTTTTATTTATTAAAATGCAAATGAAACGCCTCTATGCCTGGGGACTAGGCTAACACGGTAGATGAAGAGTGTGATACTATGATGTGGAACTTACATTTAAGCTACTTTGGCATTTTTAAAATTGGGGGCTCTACTCACAGAGGAGACGAAAATCTACAAGTTAGAAAAACGATTGGTCACTCTGGTTTCGTGTGCTTCGTTTGTCTCTTAATGGATGCCCAGGATCCTTCATCATTATTTAAATTTGTGCAAGTTCAAAACTAGAGTGCCCGAGCTCCTCGGCAAGACTGGCGATATCTCTGAGGGTTTATTTATGATATTGGTTTCAGAGGACCATTTCCTTTGAAAGGATCTTGACTCTTTCATGGTGCTTGCAGGAGCCGTCTGTGATAAGAATCCCCTGCAGCCATGGGCAAATGTGCTGCTGATGCCTCAGCCCTTTCCGCTCACCTAGAGTCTGGCGAAACAGTTCTGGGATGGAGCCGAGGGACTGCTTAAAAATATGCTTGCCAGATGATTTTTGTATTGAGATATGTTCTAAAAAAGTGAATATCAAACATTTATGACAATGAACAGAAGGCAAAAGACTTTGTGTTTGACCTGGTCACATGGGTGTATGCAAACTATGTACACATACAAATATTACATGCACATACATATTCACACAGACACAAACACACACACGTATAAACAAGACTACACACACACACACACAGTGGTAACAAATTCACAGAAAACACTAAACAGGCTCACTACTATATTTTAACTCACCTACTTTTTGTCTGAAATTTTATTGTATTTATTGGGAATGTCTCTGTGTGTGTGTGTGTGACTGTGTGTGCATATATGTGTGTGCACACCCACACCACAGCTCATGTGTGACTGTCAGAGGACAACTTTCTAGAGTCGATTCCTTCTTTTACCCTGTGGAGTCTGGGAACCAAATGCAGTTGTCAGTCCTGACAGCATGAACCTCTCTACCAACCAAGTCATCTCATTGGCCACACCCCTCATTCTTTTTTCCTTTTGTATTTTTGAGATGGGGTTTTCTATGTAGCTCAAGCCATGGACCTGCTTCCTCAGTTTTGCTAGTTCTGGAATTATACGTATGTACTACTATACCTGGCTCTGCTTATTTTTAAACATGGTAGTTGCAGAGGAAGGCTGGGAGTGCAGCTCCATGGCAGAACACTTTTACTCAGCATGAACAAGGGTCTGGGTTCGATCCCCAGCACTGAAAAATGAAAGAAAGTCACCATCCACTTTGATGACTCATTTCGAACCATGGTTGGAGAAGTGGTTGAAAAGCAATGCCTCCTGAGGTTGACAAGATGGCTCAGAGGGTAAAGGCGCCTGGTGGAAAGCCCGACAACTTGTGTTCAATTCTTTAACCCACAGGAAGGAAAGAGAAAACCAACTCTTCAAGTGTGCTTTGAAGTTCACAGCTGCAGTCTCACCGCCCTCCCCCCAAAAATTGTAAAATGTGAAAATAAATAAACACTGCTTCATAACCGTGATCCCCATTCCCATGCTACTTAATATCCAACAGTCCTGAATGTTTGAGATAGTAAGGGGAGAGCCTGAGACTTGGGTTTCTGACACATCTAAAGGAGACAATCAATTGATTAAAAAGGTCAGCGGATAGAAAGAAGACAACAGAGCGGCAGAGGCTGTGAGGTTGCCTTGTGGGTTTTATAACATTGGGCAGTCTTTGTGTTCCAGGGGAAACAGACAGAAGTGTGGCACCAGTTCAAGCTGGGGTCTCCGTATCAGCGCGACTTGCCATGCTGGAAGTGAGAAACTACTGGAAAGGTTCAAGGCCTGGGGTTTTGTTTTGTTTTCTTATTTCTGTTTGGTCTTTTTTTAATTGAGTGTATGCGGTCATGAGCATAAGCAGATAGGGTAAAGAAAACCTAGGACATTTGTATTCTAAGAGGTTTTGGATAACTAGTTCAGAACTCTCATTCCTTCAGGTTTGATCTCTAGAATATGGCTAGTTAGTATTGCAGTTCAAATTCTCAGGGTAGGCTACCGGCCAGGCACCAGGTGCACTGCCTGGTTCTAAAGCACAAAGCCTCTATAGTTGTCTGTTTACATTGTTTTTTTTCCCCCCACATTAATGATATAGAGAGCCTGGTGCAAAGGAAGACAATGAAAGATTTAAATCTGGAAACAAAGTTTCTTGATGCTTAAAATTAAAATTAGCTTTCTCAATATTCTAATAAACTCATGGTTCTCAAATGCACAAGGAGAGAGCCGAATGTCCCCTAATCAGACATCAGAGCCCTTGGATCAGTCATGAGTATATTATAATTTGAACATACTGGCATTAGAAGAAATGAACAGGTACCCTTTTGAAGTTGTGGAAAACATCCTCAGTCTGAGGCTACCTCTGAGATATGGGCTCCCAGCAGCTCTCTCTCTCTCTCTCTCCCTCTCTCTCTCTCTCTCTCT